GTAAAAGTGCTTATATTTTATTACAAATAAATGATAATAGCTATGAACGATATCGTTGGGATCACTTTCACAATGATCTCAGAACAACTTCTCTCTGCCTGGATATATTTCTTGTCTTTTCTATTTGAATGAATACGGAGTCAGTGTGGGCACACACATCTGTATGGTGATCTCTATAGTTTTTCGTGTTGTGCAGCAGTGCTGTTTACAGCATCCTTTTATATACCAGGTATGTTTTCACCCATCTACCGTTTCTAGTCTGAAATGGTAATAATTCACCAACAAATGTGGCCAGGGATTGATTTACACGTAATATTTAAAGTGACTTTTTTAACTGAGATATTGAATGTCATAAGCCCACTAACAGTCACAAAATAAACTAAAACTCATCCATGTTAGATTTACCCTTGAAATTAATTACACAGTCTGTTTTGTTGTTAACTTACCAGGTAAATCAGCTGACATTATAGCAGGAACAGGGACAGAAGGTACAGTGGGTGGGGGTGAGAGACAGTGCTCTTTAGAAGATGCAAGACACAGCAGCAAATGTTTGCCATGTTGGATGTCATATGAAGCATTAAATATGAAAACTCTTCCTCCAGTGTGTCCTTGTGAATGTATTCACATGATATGCATTTATCTAAAAATAAGTCTCTTGTCGTGTGATTATATATTATAGTAAATCTTAATGACATACTTTGACTAGACATTACATCTATACAGAGACAGTTTTTTCCTCACTTGATGGTTGAGTCTCAGCTAAGTCTGAAGTGGACTTTCCCTGCCTGTCACTGCCTCCAAAATACTTCAACAGTGCTCCTGGTGAAGTTTCATATAGATTCTGAACATATCAATATAGAAAGACTGTTCATCTTACCCAAATAAATCACTACGCTCTGCAGCAAACAATTATTGTAAACGGCATATCTCCTTCTATAACTTATACTAACGGGCCTACATTATTATGGTTCTCGCCAGCATTGTAACAGAGCCACGGCCCGTTACACTGCTGCCTGAAAAAATACGCTGCAAAATGGGCCATTGCGTTGTTTTCGAGGGTATGTTGAAGGAAAATTATAATTTCTCTACGTTGATTGTACCTGGCTAACTTACATGTATTCAGGCAAACAACAAGTGGCGATGCAGTTTCTCTCCTGTGGTCTTTGCTGCTAATGAATCATTAGCAACAGAAACGCTAACGTCTTCGCTACCAGGGGGTTGTGTCGCTAAGACCCCCCTACGCTGTCAGAAATTTCTGGTAAGAAAAAAAA